GTCCAGGAATGCTCACATCCTCACTGTGGCCCACCCTTGGGAGACTGAACTGGGAAAGAGACTTGCACAGGCCCTGTGGGTGGGTTCTGATCTGATTGGGTAGGGAATTGGGACCCAGGTACCAAGAGTGTGGTGTAAAAAAGTGGGGATAGAGGGTCCAGGTGGGCATATTCCCATGGTCCCCTGGACTCCTCAGCCTGTGGGAATGTGCATGGCCAAGATGCACCAGAGCAGTACCCTCCAAAACCCAGGGAAAGGACAGGGGCCCCTCTTGCCCCAAGCCAAGGGTGGCACTGAAAGTCTAGACTCACCAAGTGTTAGCAGTAGGGCCATAAACAGCCAAGTAGGCGTTAGAAGTCACCGAAAAAGCAAAAGAAAAGAGGCCTGGCAGCTCCAAGAGAGAAGCAAATTCTAGTGTGATTGCTCCGAACCCGGGCAGTGGAAGGTCAAGGCAAGAAGCAGGGTCCAGTCAGGAAGTCTCATTGTAAGGTCCCTTCCTGCTACAGTGTCCAGGCTTTTCTATGACTTTTTTTGTTCTGTTTTTATGGCAGAAAGCAATCCCATTACAGCTCATAGGGACCCTACCAAAGGAAAAGCACTTGGAAGCAGGTGGCCAAAGTGGGAAGTGGACAGGCAGAAGTTTCTGGAAGCAAATCCAGACCTGTTGGAAGAGCTCAGGTAGTCCTTACTTGTTGAAGGGATGGTGGCAGGATCACTGTATCTTGCGTTGTCAGGCAGGCTGTTTTTAGCTTCACAACGATACTCTTTTCCTTCTCCAGTCTTGCTCTTGGTTAAATTAAATTCAGCAGGCTCCCTTACATGCTTGGAAATAACTGGTGATAAGGCGATGCCTTTTTCAAAGAAAGTATAATTGATGGGCAGAGAACCGTTGAAGGAGATGCAGTGTAGTGTTATATAAAGGTTTGTCTGTTTTTGAATAATTTTCAGCACTGGAGTGGTCACTGGGTCTAGAAAAATGAAAGTGCATGTTACAGGGGTAAGCAGATTGGGTTCACTCACTCAATCCACAAATGTGGATTGAACCCCTACTCTATTCCCCAATGTGGTCCCAGGGATGAATGACACCCTTCTTGAGAAGTCAAGAAGCTTGCAACCAGTGGGAAAGGCCAATGACCACTCTATCATTAGATGGTTAAAACGGTTATAATCTAAGAAGCTAAGAACCACTGACCTAGAGCAGAGGCGTCCAATAGAATGGAATGATGGAAATGTTCTATGTCTGTGTTGTCTAATATGGCAGCCACCTGTGGCTACTGAACACTTGAAATGTGACTAAGGAAACTGAGGAACTAAGTTTTTTATTCCATATAATTTTAATTAATTAGAATTTAAATTTAAATAGCCATGTGTGACTAATGGCTACCATAATGGAGAGCATAGATCTAGAGAACCCCTCAAAGATTTGACCAGTATCAGGGCATCTATGTTTAGAAGAATCCAGGTACACTGTACATGTATTACCTGGAAACCCTCTCTCCAAGGAGTTTATTATCAAGGTCACCTTCATAGAGGAGCCCATTAATGCTGGGTTGTGAGAGGCTTAGGGTGGTAAGATGGGAGAGAAAAATATAGAAGTCATAATATGTAGTTGGGCAGGAAGAACATGGGCTGATGGGGCACCTGGTGGGTGGTCATTGCAAAGGGAAGAGGTGGGCAAAGCCTGGGGTTTTGGAGACCCTTGTCACCAAACACTGATTCTCAGACTTCTCACTCGAATCAGCAGAGAAAAAGCATTTTTGCCTACCGGATGGGAATCCGAGAGTAAAGCCTCTAGAAAAGATTTCAACAGTTTTCCAAATTGTTGAAGTAAGACTTTTTGTCTTAGATAACCAGCCTATTATTATCTGAAATAGCCCACAAGTCTTTGGGAGGAAAGTGAAATGGAATTATCTTATATAATAGAAGGCTAATATGCAAATTGTCCCCTCAACTGGGAGTTCAATTGGGAGGCGGGGCCAGCTGGCCAACTGCCTGTGCCCACCCCCCCACCAGCCCCGCCCAATTGCCCCAATTGGGGAGGGCCAGGACCCCACCTGTGCACGAATTCATGCACCAGGCCTCTAGTTAAGAATAAAGATCTCAGTGACATACTTTTCAGGCTCTCGAGTGAGTGCTTGCAAGGGGAACAGAGAGTCCATTGTAGAACAGGAAAGGGTCCTACACGTCACAGGGCCCCATGGAATGAGTGCTCTACTTACCCATAATTGTGAAGTTGAACTTGCGACTGTATGTTGGACAGTTGGAAACTTTGGCTTTGCATTGGTAGGGCCCCGAATCACGGGCTTCTGAGATGCTTAGGTTAAAAATCACAGGTTTTCCTTTGCTATCCTGGGTTCCCATGTGATCCTTATCCCGAAACAAAGAATAGGTGATTTGTAGTGATTTGTTCTGGTGGGAACAACTTAGAGATACATTTTGACCCTTCCTGACTATATTCGTTTTTGATAGCAAATGAGGAGAAATGAATTCTGGAAAACAAAATAACACAAGAGAAAGTTCTTGTTAATGTCCCTTGGTAATAATCGTCTGGCCACATTTTGTGGATCAAAGTGGTGGAGATAATGTTCTTGGCAAACTTTCCTAAGGGGGCTTTTCTTGCCTACACAGCCTGGCTGATCAGTGTGTGAGGAAGCCTCAGGGCCTACAGAGGCCCCATCCAATGAGAGGTGGTGGCCTTGACAAGCCTTTTTGCGCTTGCTATCTCTCTGGCCAGTATGAGCCTGAAGTGGACCCGCTAAAGCAGCGGTTCTCAACCTGTGGGTCACGACCCCTTTGGCGGTCGAACGACCCTTTCACAGGGGTCGCCTAAGACCATCCTGCATATCAGATATTTACATTATGATTCATAACAGTAGCAACATTACAGTTATGAAGTAGCAACGAAAATAATTTTATGGCTGGGTCACAACATTAGGAACTGTATTTAAAGGGCCAGAAAGTTGAGAACCACTGCAAAGACTGGCTTTGCTGACTTAGAAATATTAAAGTTCTAGGTTCTCTGACCAACCATTATGTCTGGTAGCTTGTTTTGTCCATTATTTATTTTAAAGTTCTTATTTTGAGAAATAAGAACTTTAAAATAATAGTAGAGAAGAGAGTACAATGATCCCCCATGGGCCTATCACCCAGCTTCAATAATGATCAACTCATGGTCCATCCTGTTTCATCTGCCTCTCATCCCTTTCCATTATTTTAAAGAAAATCCCAGACCGCGTGTTATTGCACCCATACATTTCAGTATTGAGAAAGAGAAAAACAGCCCCTGACAGTAGGGGACTGGCTTGACTAGGAACTGACCTGTCACTCACAGCTAGAATACCAATACCAAACAAGGCCTCTCACTCTATGACCATGTTGGATTAAGACAAAAACAAGACAACACTATAATCATGTTGACACAGATCAGAATTATTAACATACCCAATTATATCATTATTCCCACTTTCTAATTGGATTCAATCCAGAGTAGAGGCTGCTGCTTTGAATCTTCCTCCAAACCACCTAACACAGATCTAAATCTTATCATAAGACCTTTCTATCATCCCATGATTTTATTGGTGTACATTTTCTCCCAAAACCTAGCTTTGTTCAACTACATGTGTATCCTTGGTGATCTTTGGGTAGAGGATGTTGGTAGTTTGTATGGCTAAAAGATAAGGACTCTTTTGTTAACATAACAATCACTCCTAACAATTCACAATAATTTATCTCTGCGTCTCAGAAAAGATACTCCAACCCCCTCCCTAAAATCACTTCATTTTAAACAGCAGGTAATAGAAAAGACTTTGCTCTGGTTATTCATCTAAAAGCATAGAAAAACTTATTCATGAAAGATCATGTTTAAAGCTGACCATCCACTGTTTTGGTGAAGACGGCTTTACTACAAGAGAGAGAAGTAAATGAAACTTACTGTTTGTTTTTTTCATTGTCTCGCAATCCAGTTCTGCTTTTAGAGTCAAAAGAGAGAAAAGAAACACAAAAATACTCTTTTTCCACATCACCGTTTGGTTTTGAGATGCAGGCCTTAGATGTGACAGAAGAAAAATGCCCTAGTCTGTTCATATGGCTCCGAATTCTCCCAAATGAAATTGAAGAAGAGGCCAAAGGAGGTGTGGTATTACCATAGTGGTGAGTCACTTAGAGAACTTCCTTATTTTAGGCCAAGTTATAGAGATCACAGTTGTCTGCATATGCTTGGCATAATACGACTGGTTGGCTTGTCCAACGTGTGTTCTTCAATGATTCTTGTAAGAAGAGAGAGAGGTGTGGGAGGTTGCGCTAACTCAAGTTGGATGGGAAGTTGAACTGTGTGTGTGTGTGGGGGTGGTGGTGGTGGTAAAAATATGACTGTTTGCCGGGGTCCAACCCCAGCGGGTCCAGGGGTCCCCAAAGGTGTGGACGGAGTCGGTGAAGAAGGAATGACATGGAGAAAGTGTTCAGTTGATCAGCAGCCTTGCCAGGATCTCTAGCCACAATCTCCAGCCAAGTTCTGTGTCCATGTTCTCTTGCTAGTTTCTCCAGCCAGATTCTCCAGGTCCTCCAGCCAAGTTCTGTAGCCATGTTCTCTTGCCAGGTTCTCCAACCAGGTTCGGTTTAGGTTCTCCAGCCAGGTTCGGTCGCCAGGTTCTGTAGCCGGGTTCTCTTGCCAATTTCTGTAGTCAGGTTCAGTCCAGGATCTTTTGCCATGTTCTCTCCAGCGAAGTTCTAGGTTCTGAGTTTTGTCTCGATTCTCTGTCTTCTGAGGTCTGCCTTCTAAGGTCTGCCTTCTGAGGTCTGCCTTCTGAGGTCTGCCTGTAAGTTCTGTCTCGTTGCATCTGTATTTATACCAGTTGATTCTAATCCTATCAATCTCTATTCCAAAGGTTAGGGCGTTTCTTATCTCCATTCCAGGGAGTAAAGATTATGTAGTTTAAGCATGATTGTTCGTAGTTAAAGTGATTAATTACCCGCCTGGCAGTTAAGAGGTTTTATTTCCTCCCTAACTTCAGGGGAAAATCCCTACCTGGGGAAACAACCTTTCTCAGAGAGGTGACCTTGGACCGGCTCCCGGCAACTGTTGTGTTGTCTTTGTGAAAACCCACCTGATCATCTCTCTTTGGATTTGGCCTGTATCAAAAGGAACTTAATGGAAGTTTGCTTTAGTCTTGGGAAACAAATATTGACTATCTAGAGCAGACATACACAAGCATGGCATCAGAAATGCCTGATTTTGTGAAATGTAGATTCCTAGGCCCTATTCCACACTTACTGGGGATGAAACCTGGGACTCTGAATTTTAACAAGGACCCCAGCAGTCTCAGAGTCTCTAACTTACATCCCAGAATGCACTGTGGTTCACTTCTACCTGATCCAGAATTCTCCCGGCTCTGTGAAGTGTACACAGATAAAACCACATATTCTGGTGTCCCCACTCTGAAGTGAGGCCTGGGAAGTGCTGAGGGGCTTCCCAAGTGGAGGGAACTGTGACTGGGCCGCTTGGGTTTCTGATTGTTCTTGCCACCCTGGGTTGGCCTTGTAGGTCTCACACGTTCCTGTGGCCAGGTGCCCTCTCTGTGGGGAAGCCAGGCCCCTGCCTGGGTATGGGTTGTTCTAGGACAGGGGTGGGAAACGTCCAGCCTGAGGGCTACATAAGACCCACAAAATCATTTGGTCTGGCCCTGCACCTCCCCTGCCAAAGGACTATGTGCTCTCTTGAGGGTGGTTACCTAGAAGTTCAAAGGTGTGTTAACCTAGATGCACAAAAAACGATGCACAGGGTCTGTGTAAGGCAAAGATGGACCTTTTACTACAAAAGTTATAGGCCCTGGCCGGGTAGCTCAGAGTGACGTCCCGATACACCAAGGCTGTGGGTTCAATCCTTGGTCAGGGCACATACAAGAAGGAACCAATGAATGCATGAATAAGTGGAACAAATCGATGTCCCAGCCCGTCATCCTTCCACTTTCTCTAAAATCGATTAAAACCAAAAAGTTACATGTCTGAGCTTGACCTGTCCGACTCAGATAGGAATTTATGATTAGATCACCCTGTGAGGTTACTTTCCCTAACCTCCCTTTTTGTCCAGGACACCAGGCTGGCGGTTGGCCTTGTAGGTCTCACACGTTCCTGTGGCCAGGTGCCCTCTCTGTGGGGAAGCCAGGCCCCTGCCTGGGTATGGGTTGTTCTAGGACAGGGGTGGGAAACGTCCAGCCTGAGGGCTACATAAGACCCACAAAATCATTTGGTCTGGCCCTGCTGAGGTATTAAGGGTGAGTTAATTACACGTTTGACCAAATATAGCGGGCTAATGTTTAAGTTGATCATTTTGTATGGCTTGTGAATGATGTTATAAATATCCAAATGACCCTTGGCAGAAAAAAGGTTTCCCACCCCTGCTCTAGGACATTATCCAACCTCTACTATCAATTATGGTGATCATTCATTCCCAGTCCCGCACCTAGCCACCACTGGGGTCTGAACGGAGCCAGGGCCAGCTGCTGCCACTCCTACTTCTTCCCTAGCTGCCACTACTGTCTGGAAGCAGGTCCTCTTATGTAGCCCTCAGTTTGCAAAAGGCCCTAATTCCCTTCTGACAGTCAACTCTCCTACTGGGCACCAACTTTCCTAAGAAAGACGGCACTCAGTGGTTGATGGTGATTTCCACATTGTGATATTATTGGCAATTTATTTCACTAAAGGAAAGAACCCCACAAATTTGATCTCCGGTAAGATGACCCTGGGAATGCCAGAGTTTCTGCCAAGGGAGTTGGAGGTTTTGCTCTTAACACTTTACCAACCAGCATCTCATCCATCTGTGCCTGGGCAGAGGGTGGGGCTGGGCCCCTGAGAGCCATCGTGCCTAGGAAGACTGGGGGCCTTTCAGAAAAGCTGACGTGGCTGGGGCCTTTGTGTATGTGGAACATTTCAGCTGGGGCAGGAAGCTTGCAGACCACAGCTTAGACACAAGTATAGCAGAGGAAACCAGAGGAAGTGCTACTTACAGCTGTTAGTAAACGTTGCTAAGAGCACTGTAATGAGGCCCCAGGAAAAGGGACATATCTTGTCAGAAGTTACACAATAAACCAGAAGTGACAGCTGAAATGGAAAAAAACAAAGTTCGTACATGGACGGGGCACATTCCTGGAGGCCCATATCATGCCAAATCCACATTGTCGTGGTCCATCATAACTCACCATATTGGTAAGATTGGTAATAACAATAAATATAGTCATACAAACAGGAAAGGTACTATATTCCTTCCTGTTGTGTAAGCCTTACACTGATCTTGCATTGTCTTTCTGTAATACCTGTAATTTTAATCCCTGTAAAACTGCTATGAGGTATTATTATTATTATTATTATTTTAAAATATATTTTTATTGATTTCAGAGGGGAAAGGAGAGGAGAGAAAGAGAGATAGAAATAGAAACATCAATGATGAGAGAGAATCATTGATTGGCTGCTCCGGCACGCCCCCCATTGG